TTTGGAAACTAAGGATTTTGCAGCCCCTTTTCCACCATTTTTCACCTGGGAAGGTTATAGTATTATCTGTTCCTATCACTTTAGAAGAAGGCCTTGTTTCTGCCTTTTCTAACAATGCTGTATCATCAACACTGTTATTGATACCAAGACTGTGCCCTCCTAAGTATCCCTAGAGCAATTCTGCACTCCATGCTGGAGCAAATAATATTCCCTTCTCCAAACTTAGGGTTTCAGAGCAACTCTGGGTATGTTTTAGACCTCAGAGCATTTGTTACAAAAATAATGCCTTTAGATTTTAGCTTTCCTCTCTTTCCATTGGGCAAAATCAGGCCGAGAGGCAGGCAGAAGAGAGAGCATGTCACTTCCTGCATGTTCCTCCTACCCAAATCTTCTTCAGGGTGACCTTTCACACAAAACCCCAAAGTAGCACACAGCACTGCCCTTCCTTTTAGACTCTATCAAATGTCCTCATGCAAATAGAGGTATGTGCATAGGAGCTGAGGTCTAAGAGGTGGGTACTCCATAATTCAATGTTCCAGCTGTCAGTTATTAAGGCTGAATATTGAGCCTTAACATTTGATCAGGCACAAGTTCTGAGAGAATTCCTCACTTAATACTGTTATCAAATTAATTTTTATTATGTTCCAAGCCATGACCTGGAACTTTCTTTTTTCAGAGCCTTAGTCTATAAGAAGTATAGCCTTGAAGATAATGCATTGATCTCTTCTTAAATATTTGAATTATGAAAGGATTCAAAGATACAAAGATACATCATCCTTCATCTGTGTAACAGATATTAACATTTTGCTATATTTGAATAAGACTTGTTAGAGTTAAGATACACTTAAGGCCTCCTTAAGAAGTCTACCTAATCCCACATCTCTCCTTTCTCTCTCAAAGGTAGCCACTGTACTTAAGTTGGTATACAGCCCTTCAAAATATGCATAATAAAGATGCATATTGGTTTAAATTATACAGAGAACCCTTTTGTGTATTTAAAACTTCTTGTAAATGACTTTTCATTTTGCTTTTCCCAGTCAAAACTTTGACCTCTGAACTTATTTTAATATACTGGTGTTCTGTGATTACACCCCTCAGTCCATTTTGACCCACTCAGGTGTACTGCCCACGAGCCTGGGTGAGCAGCTTACAGTGGTTCCCTCCCGAATTTGGGGACTCAGAATAGAACTTGCAGAAAGTCTGTTGAAAAAGCCCTCCATTATTTTTATTCCCAGGTTTTACCTAACTCTTTTTATTAACTCTTAGAATACATAACCTGTGCAGAAGAAACAGCCATAACCAGAGACACAAAGACAGTGCTGTGACTTCAGTATACCCAGCCTTCCTACTCACTATCTCTTTACAAGTTGACATTTGGCCACGCTCCAGATACTGTCCCGACTCACTGGTTGGGACCGGGTTGCTTCATTAGATTTTTGTCAAAGTGTTTGCCGAAATTATTTGTACCAATTTTTTACTCCATTTACAACAGAAGGCTTCCCTTTTGTCTATGCTCACAATAGGATGGATATTATTATGAAATTATATATCATTGTTTGCATTGTAATTTTTTAAATTAGAGAAGTCAGGTACCTTATTATGTATTTATGCATGAACTTAGGGCTTCTTTTTCTGTGAATTGCCTGTCCTATGCTTTTGTCTGTTTTTCTTTTTTCCTTATTGATTTGCAGGAGGGTTTGTCTTGTGTACATGTAGGATTACTGATCCTTTATTAGTTACACAACGGAGACACAAATTTATGCAGCTAAGTGCTACTGATGGTATCACATCAATGTATAAAATTGCCGAGGGTCATGATTGGCAGATTAAACATAAAATGGAATGGGATTAATATGATTAAGAATTTTTAGTTTAAGAAAGAAGGGAATTTGTAATTTAATTTAAGAAAAGTACTTGTGAAATTTCTAAATACCTACAAAAGTGCTTTTGTGCTTAAGGAGATCAGTTTCAATTACTTAGACCGCTGAGGGTACAAGAGTTTACTCCCAGCACAAGTGGGTGACTGAAGTGGCCCGAGTTGAATGTGGCAATCATTAGAAATACATTTTAATTGGATTCATATATGAGGCAATACAGCTCAAAATCCCCCAAATCGCTCTTATATAAAAGCAGATAAAAAGACAAAATGAAGTGTTCAAATAGTAGAGAACTAATTTGCTCATGGAGGGAAATTCACCCAATGCATGCTTTGGTTTTGATAATTTCTACTGAAAGAATATTTACTCTGTTTTCCTCCAATTTGCCTTAAAAAATCGTTTGAATTTTCCTAGAAAAAATACATTTTTCTAGGAATGCTTTATCTTGAATACTCTAACCCTGAGACAGTAATTTATCAGAGTTCCTCACACTAGGGATTAAAATGGATGTTAAAATGTCCACGAGGAAAAAAATGAGTATAAAGACGAATCAGGCATGAAAGTTCAGAAACAAGGAGATGAATGATGTTTCTATTTTATTGCCCTCGTGAATAAATGTTCTCTTGGCCTGCTTTTGCCGTATGAATTGATGTTACAAGATAATAGCTGAGCAAATTGAATTAAAATTTTTGAGAACCGGTGAATCAGCATCCTTGTCTTAAGTGTTCCAGATACTCCACTGAGTTTACTTTCCACAAACTTCCAGTGTATATGTAAGGGGTCCTCATTTACAGAGAAGGTACCACTATTTTAGAAATGTGTGTATGCGCCTTCTTTCACATCAGGGTGGTCCCGGTAAAAATGGAATGATCAGATTCACCGGTCAGCCCACTAGTCTCTACATAGGTTTTCTGCTGAAGTCTTTTGGGATTTTCCTCTCTCCTCTGACAGTCCTCCCGCAAGCCTTCTTCCACAGCCATCCGCCAACCTCCAGCATCTCGAGTCCTGTACTTCAGACACAAGTAAAATTAAATTATTTCACTCACACTTTACTATGAGGTCATGTAGGTGAAGGGCTGTTCCTCCCCAGTGATGACTAGCCTCTGAAATTAGTCACATATTTATGGAGGCTTTCTAAAGACGAGATGCAATCTGACACATTTTTATGCATTATCCTACTGAATCCTAAGGAAGAATTGTATTATTATATTTTTTTAGACAAGGAAACAGGTCTAGAAGTATTAAGAAAACTTTTTCAAGGCTTCATAGCTAGTTACTGGCAGAAGTGGAATTCAACTCTGTTTAGGATAACATGAAATCTGTGCTTCTGCACATTCCGATATACTACCTGGGGCTGGCTTTAAAAACTTGCTCTGATAAATACCATATTTTGGAGTATAAGATGCACCATTTTCCCCCTCCCCTGCGCAAATTTGGGAGGAATAATGGTTGTTAATGATGCTGTTAAGTTCTGTTTACATTTACATTGGTGAAATATTGTTATTTATATTATTAAATATTTTACATTTTTTGCTTCAAAAATTTTTTTTCTATTTTCCTCCTCTAAAACTTAGGTGTATCTTATGGTCTGAAAAACACAGTAAATGGTAAATCACCATTCTTGAACTAACAGTTTGCTTCCCCTCTTGCAAGTAAGTAGCACAAAGACCACTGAAGCGGGTTCGCTTCACACTGGACAGGTGCACACACGGCTCCATGGAGTTGTTGTAATGCTCAGGGCCTGCCATGCCACCCCACCCAAGGGGTGGTACACAGGAGCATGAGAAAGGTCACCTAATCCACTGCTTTTCTTTGTTCAACCCAGTGATGCCACGCTTTGCTGAACAAGTAGAAGTAGCCATTGAAGCCCTGAGTGCCAATGTCCCTCAACCCTTTGAGGAGAACGAGTTCATCGATGCCTCTCGCTTGGTGTACGATGGTGTTCGGGACATCCGGAAGGCTGTGCTGATGATCAGGGTATGTAAGGCCTCTGCGGCTCAGAGCTCATCAGACCTTCTCGGAGGGACTCCCAGGAATTTACCATTTCATTTTTAATTACTTAGTTTAACTTGGTAAGCTCTTTGGCTCCTCATTTACTCAAGCATTGGTAACTTTGTACTAATAAAAGGATGGGTGATCCCAAGAAGCCTAGGTTAGCAGTGAGTGACCTGATGTTTGCCTGTGTAGTTACCTAAATTTGATTTGAGCTCAGGACTGCCCCTGCTTTTCTCCACATGTTTCTCTTGGTGACATTATTTTCCCATCAGGGTCATAAAGGCATGGCATGGAGGGAAATGAAGATTACCTAGCTTAAAACCATTAATAATGAGAATAGTGATGATAAAGTGGTATATAGCTGCATTCTCCTTAAATAATTAATTCAGTCACTGTAAATACGGCTGTATAACCGCTTGGGAGACCTCCCCATCTACTCCCCTACTATGTTCCCATTCTCAGTCTTTTGCTGTCAGGTAGGTGTAAGCCTTCCAAACCACTGTCCAGGTGATTATATATGAGGGGGCCCAGAAAAGCAGAAACTTATTTATTAAAAAATAGTGTATTTATTCTTACACTTTTAAACTTCAGTCACCTTCAAAGTACTCTCCATTTGATGCTTATATAACTATTGAGACTTTTTTTTCACTGCTTAAAACAGTTTTTGAACTTGTTGGTTTTGATACCTTTTAGTGTTCCTGCCGTGTTTTGTTTCAGCTCTTCCACATCAGGAAAATGTTTCCCTTTGAGGACTGTTTTTATCTGGGGAAACAAAAAAAATGGGGGGGTGAGATGGGGTGAATTGGCAGGGTAGGACTTGAGGGTCATGCTGTGTTTGGCCAAAAACTGCTGAACACTCAGTGCGGTGTGGGCAGGTGCACTTATAAATCACCCATCACAAAATGGGACAATGTTAAAACAGTCTTCAGAAAAGATAAATTCACAGAAGCTGAACACAGCCTCCCTCAATATCATCAGCTGATACACTGATACACAGGTGTTCCTGGAGCACTCACCTAGTTAGGGAGGCCAGTACCACAAGGGACCTGCCCTCTAGAAGATAATTCTGGGTTTCTGGGCCCTCCCTCATATGGACACATGCTAGGAAATATATAGGCTGGGGCAAAAGTAGGTTTACAGCCGTCTGTATGGAAAATAATGCAATAATCAATGCACAATACAAGAATAAACTGTGTTTTATGTACTCACAACTGTAAACTTACTTTTGTATTACCTTGTATAATAAAGTAGATTTTAAACTGGTAAGAACAGACACTACACTTGATCTTAGCCAAAAGGCCAAGAAGCCATATAAAGTAGATTTTAAAACTCATTATCACTTGCAACTTGTTTTGTTAGCCCTCAATGTGCCGTCACTTATCTCTATTATAAAAACACATCACTTACCTCGTTCCATTTAACTGCAGCATAATATTCCATCATAAGATAAAACTTTTTTCTCCTTACCTCAGTCAACGGTTTGGAATAGTAGTTTTAAACACTTTCGTAGCCACAAATTCTTTCTTGAAATAAACTTAAATATGCAAAAACTGAATTGATGAGCATGCTGCTTAATAGAAATATAATGTAAGCCACATTTGCAATTTTAAATGTTCTAATAGATGCATTGCAAAAATACATGAAACTGTTGAAATTAATTTTAACAATATAATGTATTCAGCCAAGTGTATCCAAAACTTTATTATTTCAACATGTGACCCTAGCCACATTTGAAGTGCTTAGCAGCTCCAACTTAGTGGACAAATAGCCCTTGACTCCATCCTCACGGTCAACCTCCACAGCTGTCTCCAAAGGGGCTCCATGAAGGCACAAGGCATCTTCTGTGTGCATTCTGAAAAACTTTGTGTCCAGGTGATCACTCAGCATCCAAAAAACCAACATCCCGTCAAACACTGGAAAACAATAGGAACCGAATCACTCACTCTCTGTGTATGGTCCCTCAGCTACTTCATAAAGTGTCTGTAATGTATTGTTCTTTCTGGACAATACATATCCCGTCTTTGAGGAGTCCATTTTGGCATTAACTGTCCCTCAAATTTTGGTATTTTTGAAGTCATTAAATGCACCTGTGGTTTGTCCTCTCCCACTGTGGTACCCAGAGGACAGCATGGTGCTTCGAAGGTGGTCTGAGCGGAGCAGAGCATCACTAGAAAGGGTTTCTCCACCCTGTTGACTGACATCCATGCTTCTAAAACTGCCACCAATTATCTTCACTTGGGAGCGCAAGTAGCATCTTATCTTTTCATCTTTTAAAAAGCTTGCCCATTCTTACATTAAATGTCTCTTAAAAAATTCCATGCTTAATTCAGTGTTCATAACATTGTACTGGTTATGTAAGACACTATGAAGCATACTTAACATGTAGAGTTCAACTTAGGAATTTGGAGACTGTCAGATGTATATCCTGTTCTTCTACTTAATACTATATGTGTGAGGTGCAAAACACAAATATCCAGGCAGATAGGAAGGTGACAGAATATATAGGCAAACTGGAGGAGAAGGAAAGAAAGGATAGTCAGCCTTTTAAGCCTGTAACAAATTAGATCATTTTTTTCATTACATACTGATGTGTAAAATAAAGTAATAGACCATGAGAGTTATGTTTTCAAAGCATTTGGCACTAAATCCCACTTAAACCGTAGGACATATTCCCTCTTTTGCCATTTTTCTGCTTTGTTAGCTTTCACATTTCTGTGACAACCATTCATCTGAGAGGCTGAGGAATTTTATGGCCATCATTCATTTATTTATTCATGATGTGTAAAAAAACATAATTTTTGATGAAATGCTGCATCTTTGTTACACGAAGTGTCATTCCTCCATCTCGACATTTTAAGTGATTTGATGAGATGGATTTCACATCACTGAAAACTCAGGAAGAGAGAAATGCACAGTATGTACAAATTATTATTTTTAAACTTCTCCTCCATTTAGCACCCAAGTGGCTTCATTTTGTACTTAATTTTTTAGTTGCTTTTGAGTGTAATGATTAAGTCGATTTAAGAAATATTTCATTGCACTAAGTCTGGAAGAAAGTAAGACAAGCAGAGCTATTCATTTCCCAGAAAACATGGCCGTGGCTTCTCTCCCAAGGTGTTGATTATGTTTTGATTTCTCATTTGTCCCCAAGAATAAATGCACAAAGGGCCTTGGGGGGTCAATTGTCCACACCTTGCTTTTCAGCAATCAATATATATTTAATAGTGACAAGTTCTCCAGGCCCTCTCCAGGCAACTGTCTGGAGTATGCAAAACATGTCCTTCCCATATTCCAACCTCACCATTTATGACCCTACTTCTCCCTTGCAAATGTCTACTCTGCCCCTCTTCCATGAGATTGTTCTTTTTTTATTATTTTTTGGTTTGTTTCTCGCTGAGGCTTGTCTTTAGTGACCTATCTGCTACATAAGAATTTTCTGATTACCCCAGCATGGTTGTTTAAAAAATAAATAAGGAAACCTTGCACACCTACATGCATTTGATTCTTATTATTTGCAGCAGTGATTTTCAATAATGGTGCTGTGAACACTGGATTAGAGAATACTTCAACAATGATTTCTGCTGGAAATTCAGGGTAGGCACCTATGAGCCTCTGGTCACATTTTTATCAACCGATCAATACACAATATGGTTTTATGTATGTTTTTGTTTAAAGATACTTTAATATATATTGTTGATTCATTAATATTGAACTCACAGCAAACTGCGCGATAATTCATGCCTGAAGGGAGCTTACCTAACAAATGCATTTCCTCCATGATACGAGTCACAACCTTTGTGCCCTTAGGAACACTAAACAACACATTAGCACTAGGCTTGGAAGCCATTTTAAGTAGATAAATAACCAACAAAGAACAAACAAGTGCATGAAATTTGGCACTGAATAAACTGAAGAGGGGATGCTTATTTACAGTATCAGAGCTGAACAAGAAGACAGGACACTGCCGTTTGCCCTCAGCAGAGAATTTGCATGTTGGGTGATCACAGTTTTATGCCATAGCACACCTGTCTGTGAATTACAAAAGTACTGGTTTGGGGAATGCAAAGAAACTTTAATGAATAAAAAATTTTAAAATAAGTCATCTACAAATAGTGAAGAGCCTGTGTATATTTAAGACAAAAAGGGTTAAACATTTAACATTGGGATTTAAGTGGGTGGTGTAGAAGATGATGATGTTATCTTGGTGTCAGAATACCTGTATTTAACAAATAGTAGTTGCTTCTCATAAGAATAACCATGAAAATAATCTATAATGATAGCTAGATGCTAAACTTTTGTAATTGGAACCTGTTAATTTGGTTATATGGGAAAAAAACAGGGCCTAAAACAGCATTCAGATAAAAGTCCATAGCTTAACTTTATATTTCCCAAACTGTGCACGAATGTATCCTGGGTCATTACAAAATATTTTTAAATGTCCATGAAAACGCATAAAAGTCTGTCAGATAGTGTGTGAAATATTAGCTAAAGGTGGTTCACAGTTTAAACATAAGACCGGTTCACCTCTTCAGATGACATCATATATTGTGACCCTGGGTTTCTGGTGGGGGGGGGGGAATGCAAGCTCAATGAGTGTTCAATTGCATGCCAAGGTTTAAAAAATTGTACACTGTGTAACAGTAACTCAGTTGTTAGGTCTAATTAACTTAATCCATTTTTTATTGCTTAATAAACAGCATTGTTAGGTTTTTGGGGTAGTTTTGGAGATATTTATTTATTTGGTTAGCCTAAAGTTACCATGAAAAATTACCAAGACAATGAGAGTGCTTGAAGCAATAAAGTTTGGGAACCTATTTTTTTTAACTGATTCTAGAGAGAGGGGAAAGGAGGGAGAAAGAGAGGGAGAAACACATCGGTGTGAGAAAGAAAATCAATTGATTGCCTCTTGTACGCACTCTGACTGGGGACTAAACCCATAACCCAGGCAGGTACCCTGACTGGGAATCAAACCAACAACCTTTAAGTTTGTGGGACAATGCCCGACCAACTAAGCCACAGCAGCCAGGGCAGGTTCAGGAACCTATTTTATCCTAATTCCACTGTTATGCCAATTTCCTTCTCTATCCCTCTGTTCCTTTATCTGAAAACGGGACAAATACTGCTCCAGCTATGAAGCCCCTGCATAGGTCTGACCCTTAGTCCATTCAGAAGAAATACTTCATTTCCTTATCCTGCCGGGATGAAGTTTATCTTTATGTAATTAATTAATGAAATGGAACTTGTATAATAAGTCAACAATGTTATCAAAATTTCAGGGATTGGAGTGAGAGTATTTTTCATAGCTAGAAAATAAAGGGTTGAGGAGACTGTAGAAACAACTTATGAGGTAAAATTAATCTGCCTATTACAGATTGCTCTTATTGAGTTAACCCACAAGATAACCTAGTTTTGTTTTATTAATTAGAAATATTATGATTTTTTAAAGTGTTATTTCATCTTGGCCATTTGTTGACCAAATATTTATTGAATACTTACTACAGGCCCCACTACTCAAGGTTCCCTGAATGTAGAGGTGAGGAAGAGCCCTTATCCTCCAAGAACTTGCATTCCTTTGCTAGGAAACAGAGAACAAGTATATATAATATTATGTATTATATATATCCTTAGAGGATATTACACACACACACACACACACACACCTATAAAATGCCAGTTAATCTGCCATGAAGAAAACCAAGGAAGTGTAAAGGGGACAGCACACAGAATGGGTGTGGATTTTATGAAGGGTGGTCACTAGGTAACGTGGGAGAAGAGATTTGGAAAAGGAGAAAATAAGCCATAAAGGTATTAAGGGAAGTATGTTCCAGGCAGAAGGAAAGGCACATATGTGCTGAGGACCATAGTGAATGAGATGGGAGACACTGAAGGGTTCTGGGTGGGAAAATAACATGATCTTAGATTTTGGAGGGACCACCGTGACTATAACTGGTGAGAATAAAATGTATATGGCAAGGGCAGAAAAAAAGATCAGTTTGGACGCTTCCATTGCAATACAGGATGGAGATGCCAGTGGCCAGTCAGTTCTGACTGGTGAGATTCTGTTCTGTATCTTCTTTAGGAAATCTTTAATTCTGTTTTCTAATTTCCAACGCACTCCAGTGGTATGGAGCTCTGTTTGGAAATCTTTCTTCATGCATCACCCAAACTTTCCTTTTGTAGCTGCCAACTTACGTCCTCATCTTTCTGTTCCCAATGAAACTCATACACACTATAGCCTTTCCTTTGAATGGTCCTTAATACCCTGGTGAAACAACTCTGAATCCTTTAGCCTTTTTCTCATTTTGCTTCTC